TTCACTTAGGGGAGTGGTCACAGCACCAAGCCTGTCAGAGTTTCAATGTTAATGAGAAGTAAATAACTAGTGATGCACGTGCAACTCATTTTCCTGGTGATTCCAGACTGTAACTCAAGGTAAGCTTTTGGCCATATCCTAGCAACAAGCACAAATATTGTGCTTTATCCAGAGCTCAGCATGTGAGCTGGCAAAATGGTAATATCCTAGATATTAACATAATTTGGACACATAACCGAAGACTCTTTCCATGTAACAAGAGGACATATGAGTACTACTTAACACAGTAGAATGTGGATCAAGGAATATGACACAGCTTATTTACCTTAGTAGCACTCTGCTGCTTCTGTGTGCAGTATATTTACAAGATATGTTTGGCTTCATTTTGTTTGACCTTTTTTGTTGTTGTTGTTTGCTTTTAACAGCATCTTCGAGACAGCTTTTACAAATATTCAAATAAGTGTCTCAACAGGCTGACACTTCAATATTTAAAATCTTGAGCCCATTCAAAAGCAGCTCGTGGATCTTCATAGATTTATTATTGTGACTCAAGTGGAACTGACAGTATAGCATACAAAAAGCAGAATATTTACATCTGAATTTTAGTTAAAGAGAACATGAGGAATGTACATGCACATATAAGCAGTTAAAGGTATTTCCTAATTCTGTAAGAAAAAGAGGCCAGTCAGTATGGCAAGATCCTGCAAAAGAACTACATGGATGAATAACCCACAGGGAACCACAGCTCCAAATCACAATCACATGCATGCTCCTGTCATGCACATCACAGATTCACAGAATGGCTGGGGTTGGAAGGGACCTCTGGAGATCATTGAATCCAATCCCCCTGATAAAGCAGGTTCACCCAGAGCAGGTTGCACAGGATCATGTCCAGGTTGATCCAGGAAGGAGACTACACAACCTCTCTGGGCAGCCTGTTCCAAGAAAATCATGCAGCACAGCCTGATTTTTAGTCACAGATGTAAACAAGTTGGTTAAAATGGGGGGGTTTGAAGGGAAGTGCTAAGTTCCTGATTAGAATTTCATTTTAAATGGAAAGCTCCAGATTGATTCAGTAACAATAAGAAGCAGGGAGAAGGGGGTGGACTTAAAAAAAGAGGTCATGTAGTACACTGTATTCAGTTTAAAAGATAAGTAAGACAATGCTTTTTTATCTGGTATAAACAAAATAATGCCAGCAGTTTGACTGTAAACAAGAACTGAGGAGGAAATTGAACCGAAAAGGAAATGATTATAGCAAACCTCACAAACCTAGTGCTATGTTTTAACTAGAAAAAATATATTTTTAAGTGCTGCTTCATAATTCTTCATGAAGTGCAAATCAGCCATATTCAGAATCAAAATAAGCTTTTGTAAACACCCCGTAACACACAAGAAAACATACCTAATTAAGGATTGCCCCAGTTGCCAAACTGTGACAGCTGAATTGTACTTTCCTTTGATAACTCTAAGACCTTCACACCTTTGAGTCACTTGGACCTTTATTGTAGAAGAAGAAATCACAGTTCCACCTTAGACAGGTGAATAGCAGATGATATTTCTACCACAAAAATTAATTATTTTCCCCCTCAGTTTAGAACTCTCTTAGAGACTTAAATCAATAAAGTATCTGATGCATATGTTCTATCTACTTGTTTCCAATGGTTCCACTGTGCATATAAATCTATTGTAGAACCACATTTGCATTTAAAGAGAAATTCTCTTGTGTTTTCTAGGCACGTGCTCCATGTAAGACTATCTTCTTTACCTCCTTTGAGAAACAACAGATCTGCCAGAAAAAGAGGGAGCTCAGACACATCACTACTCCAAGTCTTCTTGCCAATTATCTAAGTACCATTTCCTTCAGTTTAGTTTAGTTATGGTCCTATTCATAGAAGAGTTGAAAAGAATTACTATTTGCCCTTCCAAAATCCAATGTTTTTCAAGTTTTTCTAACATATTTTTTCATTTTGACAATGATCATATAGATTTTAACCGTAAAAAAGTACTGTATTTGCTAAGCAACACAGAGTAAAGCACTTGCAAAAAGGTTACTTAGAGATTTGCACATGAAAAATATAAACTTTATTTTATTTGGCATCACTTTTAATTATGACTGCATAAGGAAAGGTGAGAATATTCTCCTCTTGACATCTACCTGAAAAGAGATGCAGGTTTATTCCAGGAAAACTGAAACAAAAAAAAAAATTGTTCCCTGCCTCCTTAGTCTTAATTTGCGGGTTGCCTCTTGAACTTCATGCACAAAATCAGAGACAGGCAAGGGTACAGATAAAGTTCTGATAAACACCTCATCTAGTCAGCTGAAATGTTTAAACACTGGATGAGAGAGATAACTTGCTGCATCCCACAAAGGCTGCTGAACTACTGCCTTTGTGTTCATGAGGTGCAGCATCACTGCTTCATAACACCAACCTATGTGCAGGGACCATCATCCCTGCACCACTGCTAACAGGACTTTTGTGCTACTGTCTGTGACAGATGAGCCACCCCACGGGGCTGCCTCTGGCTGTCTGCTCCCCCTTTCTTGATGGCATATCCAGCATGTGGAGGCAGTGCAACTTGCGTATCTCCATTTCAGAGGACGAAGCTACAGTAGCTGCAGCAGAGCTGCCATGCTTTCCCCTTCCTGCTTCTAATCAGACAAGTGTCCAAGGACAATGCTACTGTGAAGTAGGCACAGGTCTGAGACATCCTGGAAGAGAACTGTGAGAAAGAGAGTTGTGCCAGTGCAGGTGGTATTCTACCTCAGGTGTGTGTGGGATGAACTCTTCTTGCACCTATGGAGTCCACATGGGAACAGATTTCAGGTGCCAGGAAAAATGGACAACCGGGAATCAGAGGGACAAGCTTTGTTGATGCCCAATCATGAAACAGTTACAAAATACCTGATATTTGGGATCATGCTTTTGCAATTATGAAAAAAATGACTTATCATTTATTCACAGTACTCTGGGAAGGGACTGAATATTCAAGGGTACCTTCAGTCACCTTGTCTAAGCAGTCTAATTTTACATGCAGCTCTTTGTAAACTTGGAAGCTGGCCTCAAAGAACTCACGACATACTTACTTTCCATGTTGCTGTTATTAGAGAAAAAGATACTAAGACAAGCAGCTTCTAGCTACTATAAGCTACAATCTGAAAGACTGCCCAGCTCCTTATTCCAAAATGACACTTAAAAGCATTTTTAGTAGCCCGCACTGGACTGCTTGTTCAAAAAAAGATGGAGATTTTTTTTTTTTTTTAATTTAAATTCAGTCTCCTTGAATTTGCAGGTAACCCTACATTAGGCCAATACTCTGATGTAGTTTTATTTTACTCACATGTAAGTGACTGTATTAAGCAGAATGGCCAGTCTGCACAAGTCAGTCTTATACCACATACCCTTACAAAGGGAGCCTTTTCATTACAGGCCTTTTCACACATGGGCTAAAGTGATGAGGCAAGGGTCTATTTGACTACTGAACAGGTCAAATTCTAATTGTTTCATTCAGATGAAAAGTGCTTCTCACTGTGTTTGAACTACCTCTTGAGCAATCTCCCAAGCCTGCTCTTGCAACCAGCTTACCTGCTAAATCTTCAAAATACGGCTCCAGTATTCCACAAGGCATATTTGCAGGCTTAGCAGTATGAAGACTGAAGTGGTTTACCAAGTTCACCAACCATGAGCTCACACGTGAGCTAGTTGCAGAGGATTTTAGGGTGAAGAAACTCGTGTTTATGGGTGGTAGTAAGGCAACAGGTCATGCTTTTTATGGCTTGCTGGAAGCACATGTAGTGCATATAACTCCTAAATTCAGTAAGGGCAGGATACCATTAAAAGTCTGCTACAGCATGCTACATGAGGCTAAATGCATGCACATCATTCAATATGATTTCTGGCTGCAGGATCAGTGCTATTTGCACGAAATATAAAATTATTTTGATTTCCCAATGGTATGATTGCATATCTTTCTTCAGCCATTTAAATATCAGAAAAAGATCCAACAGTCAAGTGAGTTGCTTCAGAATTTTTTTTTTCAAACATTTTTTCAGCTCCCTTTTGCTGTTGAATGCTGAGGTATAAAACAAGGCTAAGATGCTAAGATTTTCCATGGAAAACACAGGCAATAGCAGTTTTTTGGTGGGTTTTGGAATGAGGGGACTTTTTGAGGACCAGTTGTGACTGATTAATATCTCTATAAGAGATGTGGCTTTAAGCCAACCATTGAAAGTGCTCTGTGGTGATTAACACTGACAATGAAGACTTGAGACGCTTTAGGCGCTGGTTTCGAGTACCACAGGAACCTGATTCTCGAGCTCTTCTTTATATAAATTACATCTGCTCACATTAAGCGCTCATTGATGCAGGTATGAAAAAGGTTTGATCCCCGCTGCTGCAGAAACACGATTTTGGGCTGACCCAAGTATAAGCCTTGGAGCATGTTTCTATCAGACAGCTTGGCATTTGTTTCCCCACAGTTACAAACATGCAACTCCTACTTGATTTTCTTCCAGATTTCGGCTTGCCCGGCGGGACAGGAGAGTGCTGAGGGCTGGGTGCCCGCCCGTACGCCCGGCTCCGAGCAGAGCAGCGCCAGATCTGCGGCGGGGGCGAGTGTCAGCGGCTTACACTGCCCAGCCGAGGCTTCGCGGCAGCACTTCGCGCGGCTGACATCACGTATGTGCTCAGCCCCAGAGAACCCCCCCGAGTTTAGCCCTGATTTCATGCGGAAAGCACTTCCCCGGGGCGGGCTGGCGGGGGCAGGGCCGGGGCTCGCCCCTCGCCGCCGCTCGCTCCCGCCCGCCGCCCGCGTCCCCCGCCGCCCGCAACCCCGCTCCGGCGCCCCGGGGACGCCTCAGCAGGGGAAGCGCCTCCAGAGCCACCCGCAACCCCCGCGGGGTACCCCGGGCTCGGCTCCGCGCTCCCTCTCCCGCCGCCCCGGGGGCAGCGCTGTCGGCGACAACAAAGCCCCTGTCCGCTCCGCTCCCCTCTGCTCACCTCACCCCTGCGCTCCGTTCGGCCGCGACCGTTCCACGGCAGCCGGGGTGATGGAGACGGGGGAAGGGCCCAGGTGCCGCCTCTCGGCTGCCGCCCCCCGCCACTCCCCGCCGGTGCAGGCAGCGCTCCGGCAGCGGCCGAGCTCCAGCCGCCCCGCCCTCCGCCCATGCCCTGCCAGCAGGCAGCGGCCGGCAGGAGCGGGAGGAGGAGGAGGAGAGGGAGAGGGAAGGAGGGAGCCGGGGACGTTGCGGCTCCGCCCGGCCCTGCTGCGTCACAATGCGGGGGGTGCTGCCACGTGACCCGCGGGGCCGGGGCGCGGCGGCTGCGCGGGACCCCGCGCTGGGGGCGGCGGGGGCGGCGGGCCGGGGTCGCGGCCGCAGCCGCAGCGCTGTCCCCGGAGCTGCGGCCCCGCTACCGCCGCCGTGCCACAGCCGCCCCGCGGGTCCTGCGCGCTTCGGGAGAGATTGCCCACGGCGTCTGAAAACGCTGCTCTGGCATGTCCAATGCGAAACGCGTGGCACGCCGCTGCGCTAAAAATAATGGAAATGCAGTGCTCGGTGCCTGAAATGGCGAGTTCAATCCACTCACATCTGTTTAAAATAAAATTCCGTGAGTTTGGGAGTAGATTTTTTTGTAATCTGCTGTAAAACCGGGAACGCCTCGCTGCTTCACTCTAGTTCACAGGTTCACGAGGACGGAGGTGGTGGCATCCTTGTACACCTCCCATCGAGCTGGTCCCGCTTACCTTGACAAGAAACCAGCGTTTTCTCAAGACGGTGCTGCTAAAGGTGCTTCTGCACCCCGCCGCTACAGGTGCTCGATGAGCGGGCAGAAACCCGTTGGCTGTCCTTCAGGCACTGCAGGGATGCACGAAGAAAGGATCCTCTAAACATCTTAGCCCGAGTAACGCCCTGCCACCCAGGCATCTGATGGCAGCACGAAGAGAGCAGAAAAGTGAACCCTTTGGCTGGGTTTTCCTCTTTGTAATTTAGCCTGTTTTGTTTCCCCCTCTTCATAGGCACATTTTCCATCCTGTCTCTTAAGGCATATCCCTTTATATACTTTTGTGTGCTTTTACCTCTCAAACACAGAACATCTTAAATTTCATTTACTCGGATGAGTGTGGAGTGCAAAAGCCCGAGAGATGCATGCAGGAAATTTAAGTGAATTTATGCTAGTTTGGCATTGTGGAAAACTACTGCCCACAGAGTACGCTCAGAACTACCACAAGCATGCCCACATCAGTCAGCACGTAGCACTGCCCTGACCAAGTGTCTCTGGAAATGGCGAAAATACTTTAATCTCCAGCTAAATAGCTCTCTCTTCTTCCTGTAGGGATTTCTAGTGAAAGTGCCTAAACTCCCCTACTTCCCCCATTTTAATTCTGCTTAGCTGAGTCAGTCACACAGACACAGTCATCAAACAGTAACAACCTTGAGAAGCTTGTCATCTGAATCCAGCAACTTGGATGTGAAAGGAAATATAGTCCCCCATGATACATGACTTGGGCTATCTAGGAGCTGCAGCATCATGCATTTTCAGCTTATTTAGTATACTTGCCCAGAATTGGAAAGCTGCTATATTTCTTTCTTTTTAAATTACATTTTTAAGATTTGTAGAAAACAAACTTGAATATGAATTTCAGTGATGGACTCTAATGTTTGTGTGCAAAGCTAACTATATGGTGCAATAGTATCTTAAACACCTGTGCATACTGTATGTGGAGAAAGGAGTGCTTTGGACAGGTCTTCTGCTTTTATGTCATTCTCTTTTAGGAAAAGGATATGTATGTACTGCACATTTCACACTTGTACATATATGGAGATTAGTAACCATTTGAGGTATTTGTAATGCACTTGATTAGATGGTTTTATCCAGGAATGTTGGTCAGCTGTGTATAATTAAATGGTTTGAAAAGAATGCAGGTCAGCTCCAGAATACAATGTCATATAGGAGTATGACCTGCCTGACAAACAGTGTTGATGAAAAAACAAAACCAAAAAAATCTTAATTTAATGTAGAGTCTATAAATACCATTGGTATGCAAATACAATTTGTAAGATAAAAGCTTGGTAAGCGTCTTTGTGCATGTTATATATTAGTATCTCTGTTAGCACTGATAACCCTGTTTGTGTATGTACTTCTGAAATCATTGCTGAAAATATTGTTTAAATAAGAAATGCTGATTAGGCTATATGACTGTAAAAAACCCTTAAATTATGATATATAACTACAGTTCTTGTAAGAACGTCAGGATGGATTTTTACTGCCAGTTATATGGCCCCATCATGATTTTTTGTCTAAAATAAAATCACAGAATGTTAGCTCTCTTCTTGCTGTGTGTGCAGATACAAACATTTGCTGAAATAGTAAAAAGCTTGTCATTGATATTCCAAATGGAGTAAAGTGATTAAAAAATATGTTGCCTGTTGTTTTTCTAGTATGTCTCTGCAGGATCATTTAGTGGTTTGTTGAACCTTGGTATTCTAATGTGGTAAAGCCAAGGCCAGTATTTGTGTCAACTGCAGAGTATGGCTGGATGCATATGAGAACATGAGAACAGGCTGATCTGTGGCCCACATCAAGGGTCCATGGCAGCCAGCAGCAATCACAGCATCTGTCAGTGATCACATACACTGACTTTAATGAACACAAGACAAAACCCTCCATTGCTTTTGAAATTCTTCTACTAGAGGAGTTTGAGATTTGAAAGTGCTTGGTGACACTGCTCATGAAGACATGACCACATTGTACTTAAGGCAGAAAGCCCATGGAGACATTTCCTGCAGGAGATTTTTCTATTCCTATGCAGGACCAATGTTTCTATATTTGTTCCTGGATATGTGCAGCAGTCTTGTGAAGCAAAAGGTAGACAGGAACAGAAAGGAGGCAGCAGAAGCCTGGAAGAGATGAACCCAAGTGACATACAGTATGTTGCCATTTTTTTTCCAGAACATTAAGGCTGGGAATCAGAGTTGTACAGGTAAGTCTAACAGTTGGCAACCTTAGGGATTTTATGTAATTAATACATACAGGCAACCTGGGAACTTCCAGATGGTGACCTAGGACTGCTTATGTAAAATATCTCTACCAAGGAACATCATCAACAGTATCATATTAGCAAAACCCAGCAATCACAATGTAAGAATATATCCCGAAATAACAAAAGACTAGCTTTAGTTCAGTCAAATGATGAACCATGATGACTCACAGTCATTCAAGACAGTCATCAGGGCACTTCAATGTTCTCTTTAAAAAAAAAAAAAAATTAGATTAAAAGCAGATTTAGCTTTGAGAATCAGTAAGAACAACTACCATTTTTGAAGCATGACAGAATTTATCTACTCATTTCAAAAGAGTGAGTGCAAACCAGGTGACTTGTTTCTGGCTTCACCTTTCAGATTCTGAGTGGATATAAATAGATCAAGTCAACTTTGCATCTAACTTTCAAAAAGCATAATTCCTAATTTTTCCCACCTTTGGTCTGCCCTGCAATAAATATATAAAATATTTTGCTCAAATTGGAAGAAAACATTTTAATTCTTGTAAGTACATAAGAATAGAGCAAATAATGGTATAGGCAGAATTCTCTTAGGTTTAGAAAATGATGACAATATTTCACAGGGTACTAGAAGTAATGACTTACTGTTTCACCTTGATTATGACAAACACATACACACATATGCTGATGAGTAAGTCGACAATCTGAAATTCATGGAACTGCTGCATCTGAAGGAAAATTGAGACTACATAGCTAGGACTGCAATAAAACAATTGTTTTTCTGCTGTGTTTTTGCATTGTTTTCAGTGCTTGTAATGCCTGAACCTGATCTGGTAGTCCATAGTGGGCCAATCTCACATCAGCAGAATCCAGAAAGCAAGTGTTTGCCTTGAAAAGAGTGCAGATCAGTTCCTCATCCATAAGAAGAGAGAGGCTTACAAAACCAGAAATAATTCATTCAAAACCATCTTTCAGTGCATATAGCCTTGTTTCTAGGATTGGGCAGAAATATTTTCTGCAATCTTAAGAGGCCATTTAGTTGGCAGCATCTTGGTCGAAGAGGAGACTCAAGCCTGGGCTTTATTAAATGTTTATTTATTTTATCTATTCTGCTGGATAAATCACACATATAATTTCACAATGTGACATCCGAGGTCCTGCTCACACATGTAGTGCAGCTGTGCAGAAGAACTGAACATAGTATGTATGGTTGGAAAGCTAGTACATGGCATTACTGCATCAAAAGGTCAGGGACAATTACCATAATCAGCTACTCTGATTTCTGGCATAAAGCCCCACAGTTCCTAGTTGAACTAGAGAATGTTTTTCAGAAAGTGATCTAATCTTGATTACTACACTCCTAACAATGTTGTTGTAATAGATCATTAGCTTCACTGTTAAATTATGTATCCTTTGTCCATCTTCTCATTCAGCTTGTTTGAGCTTTGAGACTCTGACTTTGCCCAATCCTGACAATGCCCAGATTGGGCAATATCCATTCTCATAGGTTTTCTTACCATCTATGCATTCACAGTGTGTTTTCAAGACACCTTCAGAAAATTTTTTGATAGATTATAAAGGATTTCTTAAAACGTCCCTCATATTTTGACAGTAATAAAAGTCCACAACTTTGAATTTGTGAGTATTTGACATCACAGATTTTCATTCTGCAGATTTTCATTCTGAAAATTAATTTTGGCAAATTGGAAAGCTTCTAAGTCTGATACTCACAACAAATTACAGACCATTATAAGTCTTCCTCTTTTTTTTCCCCTGTCCATTATTCCTCTGCTTTATGTACCAAGACCCCCTTTGAATATGGCCACATTAGCAAGTTGCCACAAGGCAAGACAGTTTGAAGCAATGGATTACATAGCTGATTCATAACTGCCCTGGTGTAATTCCTTCTCCCTCCCATGCTGAAGCCAGATCACTTGCTAGGGGAATGCTCCTGTTTAAGGGGTGGGTGACTTTGCACTCTTCAGAGGATGAGAGCATGCACAGAAGCAGATCCCACAGAACAGCTGAACCCAACCGGATTTTGAATTATCTTACAGCATTAGAGCTTTGTGGGATTACTTGGCTACTGTTTTATACTGGGAACATGTGGGATTGGCTGTCCA